ATGGTAATTAGGAATAAGGATATTCCTAAACATTTAAGGGCCAAAAAGAATAAGAAGAAATAGAAGATTTATGGTGGAAAATAATTATTATGATTTTCCAAGTCAATTATGTAAAGTTTGAGTAATTAAGAAAAATTGGTCAAAAATAATTATGAAAACATATTTCCAGGTCTCAGAAAATTAAGAAAAAATAAGAACAATGTTCCTTGAGAATTATATGAGGTTATATAATTGGTTTTATGACCAAATTACCCTTGAAAAGGTTATAAAGGAATTTAAGGGTGATTTAGGCTAATTTGAGGCCTTTTATTTGGAAAATTCCAAATAAATATTTAGAAGGAAAATAAAATTCCAAGAAAATTTCTATGATGTCCTAAGGAATTATAAGAGATTATGGGATTAAAAGGTGACCCTCAGATATCCAAGAATTTTTCTAATTATTTAGAGAAGTGAAAAAATCAATAATGAGAAGGAAAATAGTTTTCCTTTTTATTCAATTAATGGAAAATTGAGTTTGAGCTAAAGAGGGCATCTTGGGAAGAAAAAAATGAGAAGAATAAATTATGGATCTGATAGAAAATAATTATAGAGACTAGAGTGCTGTAATTATATAAAAGAAATTAAACTCGGAGTAAAAGTGCACCGATAAAGTGAAGACTAGAGTCTTGCACTTTACTTGGCTCACAAGTTGCCACTTGTCAAGCCATCAATAGAGAGGATTTAAAGTTGCCAAGTGTCAAGCCTTGATTAGAGGAGGAATTCTTAGGTACTCTGGGAGTACCAACTAATCTAAACACAACCCAATAGAAACATTCCAGCTCATAATTTTAATCACATGTTAGCTTACTCATTTTTATTAATTTTTCGTTTTAAAAAGTAAAATTGCCTTAGGAATGTTGATTTCCGCTACTGCCCTCTTTCTCTCTCTTTCTCAAACTGTCCTTCCTCCCATCTCCTCCCTTTTTTTACAGATATCGCTAGTGGAGATTTCAAAACTGAGGAGAGCAAGGAAGAAGGGTTGGGAAATGATCAAGTTCGAGTTTGATTTGTCTAGGAAGATTCAAAATCTGCAGCTGGGAAACTTTGGCTACTGTCTTCGATAACCATCTGGATGGGAAAAGAGCATAGACCATTAGCGATGGAGAGTAAAATCTTCTTCATGTCGGCTTGAACTCGCCCTCGTCGACGGTGCCGTTGCCGTGGACGACAAACTTCTTGAAGATGGAGTTGTAGAGATGAGACTAAAGAAGTTTTAACTTGGGGAACCGAGACTATCATTCCTCTCATATTACTACTACCCTACTCATATACTATTTCTCCTTACCATGCTTGAGAACCTGTTCTATTTCTTAAAGAATGGAAGGATATGGGTTTTGCTCAATGCCATATCTTGCCTTGCATTACTAAAGAATGAACATGGAAGCAAGAAAAAAAAATCTATCAATGGGTTCAAATGTGTAACGTTTTCGTCGTCGCTGGTGGAGAATTGCCGGCGGCGGCGTGGTATGATGAGAAAATGAGAGGAGGAAGGGAGAGTTTAAGAAGGAATGAAGGGAAAGGGATTAGAGAGAAAGGGGTAGTAATGGAAACCAAGTTAGTTCTTTTTTTTAAAACAAGAAATAATGGAAATGAAGAGGATGACATGTAGATTAAAATTATATGAGCTGGCTCATTTCTAATGGGTAGAGTTTAAATTACCTAGTACTCTCGGAGTACCTAAGAATTCCTCTGATTAGAGAGGATCTTGACTTTTGAGATTAATTTCCTTTGGCATTAAGATAATTAAGAGAGAGGTTTTAAGACTAAATAGGGAGGTGACACATGGCATAGCAATTAATTGTGGTAGTTGGGTGGTTGAGATATTTGTTTGAGCTTTTAATGAGCTCTTCCTCCCCTAAATTCAGATGTGAGGTTTGGCCAAGAAGGAAAATGAGAGAGCAAGAGTGATCTTTGAGTGAGTTCAAAGAGAAAGCAAGCAACTTAGATCAAGAAAGCTTGGAGTTAAGGTTAGTAGTTGATATTATGTTGTTCCTTGCTTGATTCTCTTGATTTTGATGGTTGAAAGATTTCATTCTTGCCTCTTGTTGGTGCTGGCCGAATTGGTTAATGTTAGGGGAGCGAAGTTTTGAAGTTAAATATAGCTAGAACACTATGATTTCAGATAGTTTCAAGTGGTTCCAAGTAGTTATATGTTGTTTTGAAAAGCTTTTCTTGGTTGAATCTTGAGGAGTAGGGTTCGGCCACTTCAGGAACTATGAGTGAGGATGAGATTTTCAAAGTTTGGATGCTTCCATGATGTTCAAAACGGGGAATGGTATAGGATAAACATGAAGAACAAGTGTTGGAAGCATTAAAATCAAAGTTGTGATTTGTGGAAAAACCTATACCCCTATTCAATAAACTTGGTTATTGAGGAAGGAATTTTCTTTTCTTAAATCCAAGCCCATATTTGGATTCTACATTAAAAATCATGTAGGAATGGGTTAAGAGAGAATTTTTAGGGTTAAGGAAACAAACTCTAAAAATTCAAAGAATAAAGATGGAAGCTTTAAGGGGTTTAGGAGTTACTTGGGCTATGTTGTTAATTTTTATGTGAAATGGTTGGTAATCTTGCTGCCCTTTTGTGATTTATCATGTTAGGGTTCATTAATTGTGAAGAAGAAGAAGAAGGTCAAAGAATCAAAGAGCATTAGATTAAGATAATGGGATTTAATTAACCATTAATGTTAACTTTGCATTGTTATTTATGGCATGAATGCTTGCTATTATATGTTTGAACTATGATGTTTGTGATATGTTGCTCCTTGCATTTGTTGCCATGGCCTTGCATGTTGAGGTTGCCTATTTATAAGAAGATTAGTTCTTCTATGATAGCTAATGTGAAATGCTTTATAATGATGCATGTTGATGTTTTGGTTGATTGATCTTGCTATTAGGATTTCATTGAAATCTCATCCCCCATATGTAACCTAACATTTTAGGGGCTGAATCATCAAAAGGGAGGCTGCAAATCCAAGGATAAATATGGTGATGAACCATGAGGAAACAATTACATTATGGTTATGTATAAGTATGAATGTTGGTGCTATAATCCCTAAGTAGGACGCCAAATTAGAGCCACATTTTTATTAAGTTCCTGAACGAATTTCTACACAAAATTTGGTAATTTTGAAGTTCATATCATGAGCTTCAAATCAATGGGCAGCACGTTAAAATTAGCCAACTATACAATTTTTAGTGATTTTTCAAAGTTAAGGTTCAAAATCTGGAAAAAGATTTTTACTAAAAGGATAGAGGTGGTTTTCACAAAAACCTGACACTTTCTGAAATGGAAGTGTTCATAAGATTATTTTTTCCTGAAATAGCATTCAAAGGGCTTTCTACAAAAATTTTGAACTATTCCATTTTGAGTTTTCTAGATTAAGTTATGATTTTTCGAAGTTGGACCAGAAAACTAGATTTTACCAAATGAATAGTAAAAATCCAAAAAGTAGCGTCCTCAACGTCCTAAATGAGATTTTTGAGCCCAAGACCATCCAATGTGGTCTAAAATGCCTCAAAATAAATTCTAAACCATACTAGAAGTAAGGTGTAACATTTTTAGTATCAGAGCGAAGGTTCTGGCATAGGATAGAACGTTCTACTTAGATAATATGTCAGTTGAAGGAAAATGTGACTATTCATTCATTGGATAGTTTTGGTCCCTATGATATAGGAAAGGAGTAGAATGACTTGTTGTGGCTACAATAGTGACTCAGAGGGTTCAATTAACTAGAGGAGACAAGGAGAACGTTTCCCTCAATGGTTTGATGAGGACGAGGACTACATCCTTATAGTAGACTTCTACTATTATACCTTATAGGAGAGTAACCCTCCGCCCAACATAGCCACAATTGCTTCTAATGACCCTCAGAGGATTGAGGTCATTGAAATATCTAATGATAACGGAGCTGGACTTAATGAAGTGAAACTACTTCTAATCATGAAAGAATTCCACACCATAGAGGACTTAGCTAGGGATTTTAGGGAGAGAGGCTGGTACCTTAAGCTCGATGAGAACCAGTATGCCCACTTGTACCTGAGATATCTGGAGGATATCTAAAAGCTCTACTATTATGTGACTAGGGAAGATGCTACCCTAGAGATGATGGACTGGACATTAGCATTACTTAAAGTACTCCCTAGGACTCGGCTTTGGAAAAATGGTGTGAGAGACATTTGTAATCACATGGATAGTACTAGCTTTAATGACCTCATAGATGCCCTCAATATCTCTATAAGGAATATCTTTTCTTGAAGTTAAGATATGAAAGACTAGATCCTAACAATGACAGACATGCTCCCCATTCACACCCTTATGGCAGAATGAGTTTTGTCACCTGGATTAGTTATTGGGATCTAATGTTGAGGATTGGATCCAGAGCCTTGAGGACTTCGCTATTTCCCATTTTGTGTAGTCAGTTGAACCTTCGTAGTACTGATGTAGGACTTGTTTTGGTACAACTAACCATAATAGGTTAGTCTAGCATATTGATTGCTACGTATGTTTTCAAGATGGCTATGTATGTTTGAACTATATTGCTATGACTGGTGATTAATGCTTGAATGATGCATGATAAATGCATATGTTGTTAAATGAAATCCAAGTATGTTGCTTATTTGTTGTTTCTTTGTTACGCTATTCGTTTAGTGAGAGCGATGGTTAGAACTCAACGAAACCCTTCGCCAGAGAGACCCTCAGGACATGACACAAGGGTCCCTCTCGATCTATTACAGTTAATTCTGGATCGCTTAGAACGGCAGCAGAAGACCACCAAGGAATTGAGGGCGGCACAAGCTTGCTAGGAACAAGAAAGAGACGCCGCCATAGCTATAACGGTAGCAACGGCAGTGGCTAACCTCAATAGGAGGCAGCTAGAAGAAGAAATTTTCGCAGCTCAAGCATCAGAACTGTTTCCTAGACCAGCAATACCGACAGTTGACCCTGATAGCATCCAGTAATGGATGACCCATTTTTGCAAGCACAATCCGCGATTGACGTCCAAGCAGCAGAAGACTGGATTAACCGCTTAGAAAAGATTTTCAAAGTTTTGGACTGTCTGACTAAGTGGAGAGCCCAAATGGCGATCTACAAGGTAGAAAAGGACGCCGACGATTGGTGGAAGAACACCGAACTCATTCTTAATGTTTGGAACATGAAAGTGACATGGGAAGTATTCCTGGAGCAGTTTTACGAGAAGTACTTCCCGAGGTCAATCAGGGACAAAAAGGAAACGGAATTCTTAACCGTGAACCAGAAGGATAGCGAGCCATTTGACGAGTATTTAGTTAAGTTTATCTGTCTCTCTTACTACTCCAGTTATATGTGTTACTGGGATGATGAGAAGTGGATGACTGAGAAAATGATCAGAGGACTGAGGCAGTCCTTAAGGGAGATGATTGCTCCTAAGCAGTTTGAGTATTTCAACAATGCAGTTAAGGCCTGTCGAATTACAGAGAACAACTTGAACCATCATTTGATAGTTAAGTCTACTCCCAAGTCGAAGAAGGGAGATCAGGGTGGCACCTCTTCTAATGCGAACAGGAAGAGGAAGAGGTCATAGGACAATCGAAAGAGTAAGAAAGGAGGTAAGCCCCCAAATGGCAAGGAATGCCCAACCTGCGGTTAGAATCACGGTGACAGACCGTGCATGGCTGGGCGAAACAATTGCTATACTTATGGCAAGCCCGGACACTTCTCAAGAGAATGCCCACAGAATACAGGGAAGGCAAGGCCGCGTACCCAAGGATGAGTATTTGCCATCACAGGGGAAGAAACCTGGAAGTCACCGGAAATGATCTAAGGTCCGATCATTATTAACAACTCCCCAGTGATTGCAATGTTTAATTTGGGTGCTAGTCATTTTCTTGTCTTGTATATTTGCTCTAAAAGACCTGGCTTGATTATGAATACGTTGCCATATAACATGCATGTGTCCACCCTAATACACTATGGGGTAGTAGATCTGATATGTATGCCTCCTATGAAATTGATGTGGTAATTGGATTGAATTAGTTGTCGTCCCATAATGGCAAGGATAAAACCCTGATCCTACCCCTAAGAGAAATAGAGTTAAATCTGGAAGTCAAGTTAAACTTCGTAACGGAAGCCCAGACGGGCAATGGTACGATGAATGAAGCTAAGTAAGACTAGCAGACGTTAAGAGAAAAGTATGTTTTGTTATGATGAGCCAAGGGAATTGGTGGTGATGAGCGAATACAGAAGTGATTACCAGAGAAGGTGGTTACTCTCATCATTACAAACAAAGATCCTGTCACGATGAACAAACACAATAACTCTCAGATGTTGAGGTGGTATCTCAACGAGACATAATGACTCTCAGAGGTCGTAGGAAGTAAGATTAGTAAAGGTCAGAAAGAGAGAGGCAGCCACTATTTAGGGTTATCAGATTCCCTCTCAAGAGGAAGAGTAATGATGAGGAGTTGAACAAGATAGTTATGGGTTGAATCTATACACCACTAAGAAGATGTAGTAGCCACCTAAGCTGGATAAACTCTTACAGCCTCGTTAGGGCTGGCGTACCATGATAGAGTAGCTACCTCAAGTCCGGGAATAGACAAATAGGAACTTGGGGATAGTGAAGTCAAGATGGATAGCCCTAGTGAAATTTCTTAAGAATTAATAAGAAGGAAAAGAGACAGATAGCTGTGTAGTGAACTAGCTTAAGAGGTTGGCATGTTCCCATTGATGTTAAGAGATACTTAGTCACTTGGGGTTTAGGTTGAGAGGCACCTTTTGTTAAAGGATAAGGTCTTGGCTAGGAGTCTTCTTAGAGAAAGTGGGAATTGGTCCTCCGAGTCAGAATTGATGTTGTTCTTGATGGAGCAAGATACCCTATCCGAGCGGGAAAGGGAAGCAGCCGAGGCAAGGCAAGCAAAGTGACTTCACCCAATGGAAGCATGACTAGCTAAGAACAAAGCTAGGCTTCGATGTACCTGAGCTTAGCAAAGTACTAGAGCAAGTAGAAAGAAGAAGAACCTTATAAGTCCTCTCCCTATGACTTCCAGAATCAACTGCGAACAGAAAGAGAGGCTCCGTCTTGTAGGGATAAGATGTCCGGATGGCATGCTACGGACATAGCAACCAGTAAGAGCTTGCACTCCTTACATTAAAGACCAGGCATTATGCATATTAGAGTATGCTCATACTAAAAAGTAAAGTAGAAGATAGAGCAGTTGCATAAGTCCTCTCTCTGTACAGTTCTAAAATAGTAAGAGACGGTAAGAGCAGCTGGAAGAGTAAGAGAACTCCTAAGACAGATTGGCTTAGGCGCCTAAAGAGACAAATAGTTGGCCTGGGGAATTGATATGAGGCCTAAGAGAATGGTATTAGTTTTGGAATAGTTTTGGGAAATTATCAGTTAGGTGACCAATTGAGTGGAGGTGACTTACTTAGTCCTATGGTCTAAAGTCTCTTAGAGATCTGGTACCTCTTTGGGAAGATGAAAACTAGGGATAAGTTAAAGATATGGAAACCTCCTTCAGTTGTAAACTAGTACTGAGAGAGTACCTATGACCTCCTTCCAGATAACCTTATCATTAATTAGGCTAAGCTTAATTTCTTTCCGATTAACATATGAAAGCCAAAGTTAGAAGAATTAGAGCAGTAAGACCTGAACAAGAGGTATTCAAGCTTGCTCCAGAAATGGGAAAAACCCTTTGTGATACAGAGATAGACTAAGTATTGACGGGCAGATCCTTAAGATGAGGCTAGAGTCAAGAAGGAACTAAGACAGTAGAGTACTAGGGTTAAGCCTATTAGAATCAGCGCCTCAAATTCCCATCAGCACTGTTCAGTTAAGCGCGCTCGACCAAGAGTAGCCCAAACAAGGTGACCCTGAGAAGTAATGTAAGAGGGTGCAAAAGCCAGAAATGTTAGCCATTTTGGTAAGAATGCACTAAGTCCAGCGAAAGTAGAAGATAAAGTTAATAAAGCTATTAAGCTACTTAGTGTCCCAAGCAGTATTGTTTCGAATTGAGACTTGAGACTTACTCAAGGTTTTAGAGGTCCTTACTGAAAGAAATGGACACTACTCCTAGACTTAGTACAGCCCACCATCCATAGATGGATGGACAGGCAAAGAGAACGATACAGATGTTAGGAGATATGCTATAAGAATATGTGCTTGATTCGGCGGTAATTAGGATACATATTTACCGTTAACTAAATTTGCTTAAAATGATAGTTTTCATTCAAGTATCCAAATGGCGCCATACGAAACACTCTACGGGAGGAAGTGTATATCTCCATTGTGCCAACAGAGGTCGATGAAAGAAGTATGTATGGTCCTGATAAAGTGAATCAGACTTCCCAGCAAATTAAAGCTACTCAGTAAAGACTCCTAATGGTTCAAAGTAGACAAAAGAGCTACGCAAATACTAGAAGGAGACCATTAGAGTTGAGATTGAGGACCATGTTTTCCCTTAAAGTGTCACCAATGACAGAAGTTGGTCGATCCATAAAGATTAAGAAATTGAGTCCGAAATATGTTGGACCATTTCAAATTTTGTCCAAGGTTAGACCAGTAGCTTATAAGTGGCCCTTCTCCTAAATTTGAGTCAAATTCATGATATCTTCTATGTCTCCCAATTGAAGTATAATCCAGACCCGACACATGTCATAAGATATGATGACATTGTGCTCTGAGACAATCTGTCTTTTAAGATAGACCAGAGTGAATCATTGATCAAAAGGTCAAACAGCTGAGGAATAAGACAATTTTGCAGGTCAAAGTAGTCTGGGAAGAAGCTATATAGGAGACGGAGACTGAAATGAAGGGAAAGTGTCCCGAGCGTTTCCATTAAGATACGCTTTAAATTTTAAGGATGAAATTTATTTTGGGGGGAGAAATGTCACATCTAGTAATATGGCAATCAGAAATAAGGATATTCCTAAACATTTAAGGGCCAAAAAAGATAAGGAGAAATAGAAGATTTATGGTGGAAAATAATTATTATGATTTTCCAAGTCAATTATGTAAAGTTTGACTAATTAAGGAAAATTGGTAAAAATAATTATGAAAAAATATTTCCAAGTCTTAGAAAATTAAGAAAAAATAAGGACAATGTTCCTTGAGAATTATATGAGGTTATATAATTGGTTTTATGACCAAATTACCCTTGAAAAAGTTATAAAGGAATTTAAGGATGATTTAGGCTAATTTGAGGCCTTTTATTTAGAAAATTCCAAATAAGTATTTGGAAGGAGAATAAAATTCTAAAAAAATTCCTATGATATTCTAAGGAATTATAAGAGATTATGGGATTAAAAGGTAACCCTCAGATATCTAAAATTTTTCCTAATTATTTGGAGAAGTGGAAAAATCAATATGAGAAGGAAAATAGTTTTCCTTTTTATTCAATTAATGAAAAATTAAGTTTGAGCTAAAGAGGGCATTTTGGGAAGAGAAAAATGAGAAGAACAAATTATGGATCTGATAGAAAATAATTACAGAGACTAGAGTATTGTAATTATACAAAAGAAATTAAACTCGGAGTAAAAGTGCACCGGTAAAGTGAAGACTAGAGTCTTGCACTTTACTTGGCTCACAAGTTACCACTTGTAGAGCCACCAATGGAGAGGATTTAAAGTTGCTAAGTGTCAAGTCTTGATTAGAGAGGATCTTGACTTTTGAGATTAATTTCATTTGGTACTAAGATAATTAAGAGAGAGGTTTCAAGACTAAATAGGGAGGTGACACATGGCATAGCAATTAATTGTGGTAGTTGGGTAGTTGAGATATTTGTTTGAGCTTTTAATGAGCTCTTCCTCCCCTAAATTCAGATATGAGGTTCGACCAAGAAGGAAAATGAGAGAGCAAGAGTGATCTTTGAGTGAGTTCAAGGAGAAAGCAAGCAACTTGGATCAAGAAAGCTTGGAGTTAAGGTTAATAGTTGATATTATGTTGTTCCTTACTTGATTCTCTTGAGTTTGCTGGTTGAAAAATTTCATTCTTGCCTCTTGTTGTTTTGACAAGTTTTTCTAGGTTGAATCTTGAGGATTAGGGTTCAGCCACTTCAAGAACTATGAGCTAGGATGAGATTTTCAAAGTTTGGATGCTTCCATGATGCTCAAAACGGGGAATGGTATAGGATAAACCTAAAGAACAAGTGTTGGAAGCATTAAAATCAAAGTTGTGATTTTTGGAAAAACCTATACCCCTATTCGGCCAACTTGGTTCTTAAGGAAGGAATTTTCTTTGCTTAAATCCAAGCCTATATTTGGATTCTACATGAAAAATCATGTAGGAATAGGTCAAGAGAGAATTTTTAGGGTTAAGGAAACAAATTCTAAAAATTCAAAGAACAAAGATGGAAGCTTTGAGGGGTTTAGGAGTTACTTGGGCTATGTTGTTAATTTTTATGTGAAATGGTTGGTAATCTTGCAGCCATTTTGTGATTTATCATGTTAGGGTTCGTTAATTATGGAAAAGGGGAAGAAGGTCAAAGAATCAAAGAGCAC